TTTTTGTCTGTCCTTAGCCTCCAGTCTGAGGTCCTGACCTTGATACATTTGATGGGTACAGGCTGTCTGTAGGATGTCTGTCTTGTCTTTGTTTTGTTTTTTTTTTTTTTTTTGGAGGCCCAGGCTGGCCCTGAACTCCCCACATGGCCAGGTCATCTTCAATTCATGATCCTTTTGCTTCTGTCTCCTGAGTGCTGGCCTAAGGTGTGAGGCTCATGCTTGGCAGGGAGATCTCTTTCAGTTTGGGTGTATCATGCTATCTTGGTGTTCTCATCATGTCAAAGGTGTGTGGTGTTGAGGTGACTTGTGACCTATGTGTTAATCTTGGTCATTTGTTGAAGTGTGGCCTGCCAAGGTTTTTTACTCAGAGTTACTGTTTTTCCTTTTTAACTGATGACTATTTTGGGGGAAATATTTTAAAACTATTATTGTCCCGTTGCTCAAGCTTAGACCCATCATTTTATTATCTATTGGTAGGTTTTATTTTACTTTTATTTTTCATTGATTTGCTTGAGACATGCTTCACTCTGTATCCATTGAACTTTGTTTTGCTCAGGCTGACCTTGAACTCAGAGTTGTTGCCCTGCCTCAGTTTCCCTAGTGCTGGGATCACTAATTTGATGCACCACACTGAGCTGTATTGCTGGCACTTGCCTGCAATGCGATTACTGTACTCTTTTCCCAGGGATGGTTTCCGCTTCTCCATCTAATAACTGCGCTGTTGTGTGTGGAAGCTCTGCCTCCCTCGTTTCAAGTATAGGCTCATGGGTGTTCTGTAGATTCTAATTCAGTACTTTATTTATATTGATTTATTTATTTCTTGAGCCTTAAATTGTTTCATCTTTGATCACTATAGGTTGGCTTTCTCACTCCATGCCTCTTACAGTTTTTAAGGTTTACTTTACTTTCTGTTCCTACACGGTACCACAGGCTCATCATCTCCAGAGAGGCCGAGATACTAGGTTTCTATGAGAGAAGTGGTTGACTTTAGGGTGTCTTTGCTTCTACATCCTCTCAGCGGGTAGAGCAGAAAATAACACGCAAATCCTGAGCCCTCTCCCCACCCCTGACTCTGTATTCACATATGTAATTCCTGCTGGTTCTCCTCCCAGACTTGACCCTTAGCTTCCGGGTCATGCTGGTACCATTCCTCCTAGTCCATCTCCACAAGCAGCTCACATCTTGTTTTCCCAGTTCCTCTTTGTGTGTCTTCTTTCTCTTCCAGTGAGAAGATGGGTGTCATTCATTACAATGAGTTCACTTACATGCTCAGCCCTAGCACGAGTCTAATACAGTTATAAAATTACTAACCCATCTCCTGTGCAAAGACATCTACTGTAGTACAGTGTTTGTGAAAAGCCCCCTCCCAGTATTATAGTATCTAGCCAAAATACTGTTTTCCAAAGTTAGTTATTTTTGTTCTCACCCTCTTCGATGGGGTTCCTTTCTTCATTTTTATTCATTTGTTTATTTGTTGCTGCTTATATACCATTTTGGATTCTGTACACATACTGGTATCTTTTGATTATTAATGATTCAAAATGAAATACTACTAATTCCAAAAATGAAAATTATACAAAAAGTCATTCTACTTAGTTTAACAAAGTAAAACTATGTGCTTGTGTGCATGTATGCATGAGTGCATGCGGAGGTCAGAGGTCAACCTCAAGTGTGTTCTTCCTCAGGTGCATCCATCTGGTTTTTTGAGACAGGGTCTCTCACTGACCTGGGACTTGCTGAATAGGCAAGGCTGGCCAGCTAACCCAGGAATCCACCTGTCTCCACCTCCCTAGTATGGGACTTCAAGTACATGACGCCGTGACTGACTTTTTTTTTTAATGTGGGTTCTAGGAACCAAACCTCAGATTCTCATGCTTGAGACCAAGCACATTATCAACAGAGCTATCAGCTCAGCCTGAACAACTACTGGTTGAACCCGGCTTCTTTTCCCTGCCCCTTTCTCCATCTCAGCAAGTGCCACCACCCCAAACTGCACCCGTAAGGTAGCAATCTTGTGGGATTTGTTCCGAAGTGTGACCAGAGTCGGCTGTTTCTTGTCATCTGCTGCAGCCCGGCTCTGGTCAGCTGTGCTGGATTTAGCCGCTGACTGTCGTAGTTCTTTGTAGCAGGTCTCCCCATGATCTGCCTGCCCTGCCCTCCATCCCCTTGTCCCAGCAGCCAGAGTGCTCTGGTCAAGGTAAAGTAGGCTAATGTCTTCTGCCGGAGCTCTTCCAGCAGCCCCTAATGTAGCCAGGATAAAGCACAGTGCTCTTAGAGGCTTTTAGGCCTGTTATGATCTGGCCCTGCTGACCCCCTGCTGACCCCCTGCTCCTTGGCTCTAGTATTTCTGGCATACACTGTGGCCATATCACCTGTCTTTGGGGTCCATGTTTGCACCGAGCTGCTTCTTGCCCCCGGATTTTGAACTTGGCCTCTACACTTGGAGACACATGGCCTCTGCCTTCTCTGGGCACTGTTCACTAGCTCTAGCCCTAGTCACTAGCCCGCCTCTCTCTTCTCTTTTCTCCTTTCCTTCCTTCCTCCATTCAACGTCTTCTTTTGTTCTTTATTAGTGTATATTAAGTATGTATAATAGGTTTTATTATGACATTTTCATATATGTGTATAATGTATATTGATCATATCCTGGTATTCTTGCCCCCCTCCTACTTCCACTGATCCCCTTTCTCTTCCCAACTTTTTTTTTTGAGGCGGGTTTTCACTGTATAGCCCAGGCTGGCCTTAAATTCAGAATCCTTCTACTTCAGCTTCCCAAGTGCTAGGATCTAAGGCAGGTGCCAGCATGCATGGCACCTTCTTCATTTTCCTTTAGTGCTTTGGATTTTTTTTTTTTGGCTTATTTGTCTTTCTTCATTAGAATGTAATTATTCTCAATGCAAAGTCCTTTCCTATATTACTCACTACTAAATTCCCAGTTCTTGGTTTGATTAGGTACTTATTAAGCACACACACACACACACACACACACACACACACACACACACACACACACACACGAGAACAATTGCTGCTTGCTTGCTTATTTATTTATTTGTTTGTTTATTTGCGACAGGGCCTTACTGTGCAGCTCTGGCTGGCCTGGAATTTGTTATGCAAACCAGGCTTCTCTCGAACTCACAGAGATCCTTCTGTCTTTTCCTTCAGAGTACTGAGATTAAAGGCATGAGATCCTTCTGTCTTTTCCTTCAGAGTACTGAGATTAAAGGCATGTACCACCATCCCTGGCCTTCCCCTCATGTTTTGAGACAGGGGCACTCACTGAACCTGGAGCTTGCTGATTTGACTAGACTGGCTGGCCAGCAAGCTCCGCCTCCTCGGTGCTAGGAGTGTGCAGTTGCTGAGCCTGGCTTCTTCTCCTGATTGCTGAGGATTAGATTAGGCCCTTGTGCTTGCACGGTGTCTCAGTTAGGGTGACTGTTGCTGTGATGAGGCACCATGACCTAGGAACTTGAGGAGGACAGGGTTTATTTGGCTTACACTTCCATGTTGCTGTTCTTCATCAAAGGAAATCAGGACAGAAACTCAAACTGGGCAGGAACCTGGAAGCAGGAGCTGATGCAGAGGCCATGGAGGACTGCTGCTTACTGGCTTGCTCAGCCTGCCCTCTTATAGAACTCAGGACCACCAGCTCAGGAATGGGACGACCCACTGTGGGCGGGGCCCTCCCCCATCAATCACTAATTAAGAAAATGCCCCACAGGCTTTCATCCAGCCTGATTTTAAGGAGGCATTTTCTTTTCTTTCTTTTTTTGTTTCTGCTTCTGGTTTTTCAAGACAAGTTTTCTCTGTGTAGCCCTGGCTGCCCTGGAACTCACTCTGTAGACCAGGCTGGCCTCGAACTCATACAGATTCCACCTGCCTTTGCCTTCTGACTGTTGAGAATAAAGGCGTGTGCCACCACCACCTGGCTGGAGGCATTTTCTTAATTGAGGGTTCGTTCCTCTTCTCAGATGACTTCAGCTTGTGTCAAGTTGACATGGAACTGTCCAGCACACGTGGCGGCAAGCACTTCGCTCCCTCTTATCTCCCGAGCACATTAACTCTTCTCAACTGAATGAATGGGTATACTGCAGTAAATGAGCACAGCATCAGAACTTGATGTACCTGTACTTACGTTGACTAAACCATAGTTTTTAATACTCAGTTCTCTTTTGTTTTTCAACTTTCAACTAGCCATGTACACCTTCATGTGATCAGCCAGGATTTTGATTCTCCTTGCCTTAAAAACAAAAAACATTGGAATTCTTTCAATACAGAATACTTTCTGGACTCACAAGGTAAATAGTATTCTATTTTTTTTTTTAAATTTAATTCATTTTCTTAGATGTCTTACTACCTGACTCAGTTGTTTTCTAAGTAACAACCTGGCCTCAAATGACCCACATACATTTAGTGGTCTCTATAATACATGCACTCCTAAAATGAACAAGGGTGTTTCATTGTAGTAGGATTGCTACTTGGCTGTGAGCATCCTCGAGGGACCCAATCAGCTGTTATGTCGGGGTCAAAAGTGTTTCACTTTGACAGCAGAGGAGTTAATGTCTACCCAGAATGCCACTGATCTGGAGCTAGTAAGCCGGGTTCGACTCTTGGCTGGGAAGACGTGTGTGAGCAGGTTCTGGATCTGAGGGTTGCTGGGCCTGTGCCAGCCAGGCCTCGCTGTTTGTCGCAGTGACAGAGCACCTGATGTAACCTGAGAAATGAAAGCTGTGCTTAGGTTCAGAGTTGCAGAGGACTCGTCCATGGCTCTGTTGCTATGGTGACGAGGTAGAGCACTGGCAGGGAGGGTGAGGAGGAGCGGAGCTGCTCACTTATTGGTAGCCAGGGATTGAGAGGAAGAGGAGAGAGGGGCTTAGGGAAGGACTTGGGACAAAACACAGCCTCAAGGATGTCCCCAGTGACCTATTTTCTCCAGCGAGGTCCCACCCCCTAAAGTTTCTACCATCTCACCCAATAGCACCGACAGCTGGGGCCACACGTGCAGCCCGAGGCTTTAGAGGGGACACTTCACGTCTCAACTGTTCTGTCTCTTCTGGCAGGAGTTGAGCAGGAGTGTGGGGCCCTGTCCTGTTAGCAGAGGATACTGTGGATACTGTGTATATGCGGGGTGTAAGCATTTCCCAGAATATGTTCTCTGTAGCCAGTACCGCTGCATCACTAATGAGGCAGCGGCCATTTAGCAAAGGGGCACCTGGGGAAAGCAGGGTGAGAGCTCATGATGTGGTAGTGGAGTGTGTCCTGAAGGAGTGTATCGTCTCAAAGGTAGGTTGCTCAGACGCAGAAGCTGGTCAAGTGCATTTCCCAGTGTGAAGTCCAACTTCTAGCTCATGAGCTTTAGGACACCAGAGGTGTTGATAGAGGCAGGTTTCCAGCCTCTTCCTTGGCATCTTCTTGGCTGTCCAGAGTAGCTGGGATCTGACCCTTACCTCCTGCTTGCAGCTGTGATCCAGATGGTGGAAGAGGCTGGCAGAGTGACTGTTCAAGATGGGACTTCTGAACTCCTGAAGCTGCCCCTTCGTTGCCACGAGTGTCAGCAGCTGCTGCCCTCCATCCCGCAGCTGAAGGAGCACCTCAGGAAGCACTGGGGCGGGTGACCGTCCCCGCGGCCGGGTGCAGTGCCAGCGTGTGTCCGCGTTGCCTGTGCCCGTGCAGTCCTGAACTAAAGCATGCAGCTTTTCAAAACAAGGCTTGTTTATTCTCGAGCGGCCACACACAGGGGGACTGGTAGTTCAGGATGGGGAATTTGGGTTTGTGTGGGTGCATTCTCTGGTGATGGAAGCTGGGACGTCCTGCCTGATCACCCTACCAGGACCATGTCAGGCCTGACTAATGAGGGGGAGGAGAGCCAGCCTGAGACTCGAATGCAGGCTGTGGAAGCAGAGCGATGGTAATGTATTTTGTCCCTACCCTGCCCCCTCCAGACCGTGTCGTATCTTTTCATCAGGGTAGCTGAGGGTCTGAGGGGGTCTAGTTCTCTGACTTTAGTCTGCTCCCTCTGTGAGGAGGCTTCTAGTCCACTGTACCAGGCTGAGTGTCTGGGTGAAAATGGGTGTCAGTCATCTGCACAGAGATGAGGTGCATGTGACCGAGCCAGGGCAGAGGACGTGGTGATGTTTGGCCCAGTGTTAACAGTACAGTCTGTGCCGAGGGCAGCTGGGGCAGTGAGTACTGTCAGCTTCAGGCCTCAGCCGCTGCTCTTGAGAATTACAGAACATACAGCAAACTTCAGATAAAGTTCCCCAGTGTGCCTTGGAAAAACAAATGTTGCAAAGGACAGTTCATTTAATTTTTACTTAATGCCATGTAGTTTAGCACACCAATATTAAAATGAATATTTGATTAGAAACTGCAAGGAGTGGATGTATCAGACCCTGTAAGAATGTGAGCTGTAATGAAGAACATTCGAAGAACGAGGTGACCATGATTTTTTTAGGTTTGGAGAGATGACTTAATGGTTAAGAGTGTGTGTTGCTCTTCTAGAGGACTTGAGTTTTGTTCCCATCACCCACCTCAGGCAGCTTACAACCACCTATAGTTCCAGGGGATCTGACACCCTCTTCTGACTCCCATGGGCGCTGTACCCAAGTGCACAAATCCAAACACACACACACACACACACACACACACACACACACACACACACACACACACACATTCATACATAATCAATATCTTAAAAATTAGATCCCTTAAAGGAACAAATGTGAACAATGACTTGGAGGAACAGAAAAAGGACACAAAGTATTGAGGTATATTCATCTCCTAGCCCTCCTCTTCCAAATGGGCTGTTATCACTAGGGGGGAAAGACTTTCTGAACTCTGGATGTAGCCCTAGCTATCCTGGAACTCATATAGACTAGGCTAGCCTTGAATTTGCAGAGATCTGCCATTCTGTACCTCTAGGGTACTGTGATTAAAATACACCACCACCACAGTAAAAAACAAATAAATAGATCAATGAGTGAATGAGTGAATGAATGAATAAATGGATGAATAAATAAAAGCAAATATACAAGGGTTAGGTAGACATTGCCTGTATTTAAAAAAGTCAGTGTTTTCTGGGAGTGAAATAACGTCATGCACTGTTCCCTTTTGCAGAAATGCTCACATCCACCACCTGCTTCTAGATTGTTGTTCTTTCCTTTTGAATGTTGATAATGGATTAGTTAACCTCACTTTCATGTCAACTCGAAGCTCTGCTCTCACCCAGCTCACATACAGTATGCCGAATGCTCTTGAAGGAAAGTATTTGAGTATTTGACAATTAGGATTCTGTCTAAATAACAGGTTGTTTGATTCCTAGGCCTCAGTTTCCAGCTCTTGGGTACTTCCTATCCACACAGTACTCTAGGATTGCCTGTCTGTCACTCAGGTTTCATAGTGCACCAGGGCATTCACATTTTGGAGGTGTACAATGGAACATCATTTAAGCCATAAATAAGAAGGGAATCTTGTTCTTTGCGGGAAGACAGACACACTGGAGATCATCCTGTCAAACAAACCCAGCAGACTCGGAATGACAATTGCTTCATATTGGTGGTTTCAAAGTTCTGGGCTCCATAGTGAGGCAGAATATTGTGGAGGTAGAAATGTGCAAAGCCTGCTTGCCATGTGGGACAGAAGAGCAGAGACAGCACTTGTTTATTCTGAAATAGACCTTATGTAGCTAAGGCTAGCCTGGAACTCATGTAGCTCAGGCAGGTCTTGAATTCAAGACCCAACTGTCTTAGCCTCCCAAGTTCTGGATTACAGGCATGTGCTACCATGCCTGGCTAGGAAGCGTCCTCAGAATACTGGGTGCAGGTCAGGAGACACCCCACCCCATATGTGGGCTACCAGTCAACTAATCTTTCTGTGGTTGAGGCAGGTAAGAGGTGGAGGCCAGGGCAGGGGAGGGACTCCTGGGGCTGTGTGAAGAGCCAATGGATCAGCTGGATTCTTACCTGCTACTGACAGCATTTCCACACCACAGACACTCGCTTATGGCAGCTGGGAACTTTAGCATTCAAGGACCCAGGTCTATAGGAGGTCAAGATCCTCAAATGCAGCTGATTCTGGCTGGCCAGGAGGGAGAAGAGACTCAGGATTTAGAGAGGCCCCAGTATGTAAACCTGTCTGAACTTGACCTGACAAGAAGACAGTATATGTGTCTTCTTCATGTGGATGAGAATAAGGAGCCTGCTGCATGTACACACCTTTAACCCAGGTCCCTGAGTCCCAGGCCCATGTGAGGCACAACCACATGACCTTACAGGGTGGGGACCCTGTTTCCCGTGGGGTCCTTTATCACCTTCACAATGGAATTCGGACTCCCTGGAAGTAATAGGACACCAGTAAGATTCTGTTGAGTGAGCAAAGCTGTCATGTGCTTTGCAAGCCAACAGTCCAGAGACTTTCTTTCGCACTGGAATGCAACCCGCAAGTTTGCTGTCTGGTCAGCCAGTTAGTCCACCCGACAAGCCTCCTTGCCATCCTTTACAGGCAGAGTGTCTCATACTAGGAACACGGGGGCTGTAAAGACTGTTTTCCACCTCATGTTGCAGATTGTCAGCTAACAGGTGATAAGACCCC